TACTTTACAAAAATGCAATACATGGGATAAAAGGTTTTCGTTATTTCATATGTATACTTCTAAAAAAATAAAATCAAAATATCTCAGGAGTTTGATGTTTTTGAGTTTATTTCTGTGTTAGACCTAATGTATCTAGATAACGGTAAGAGCTTTTCTTATTTTTTAGTAAAACTAGCTGGACGCCAGTTAGGTAGTTTAGTAATAAGTAGTAAAACGTACGAACATTTAGTTTTTAGAGTTAAGTAGTGTGAAAAGGGTGCAGTCCAACGACGTATCTAGTTCATCTCACTGGTCCAAAGCGCAATTCATAGGTTTCGTTATCAAGACAGGCTTGTTCATTTCACAATTAGCCTACACTAGAGACCTTGTCAAAAGACCCCCATCATAAGCCACTTTAGGTCTTAGTAATGACATACTATGTAATATTTTTTACAATTTAAATTACATGAAAATTACACATTTCCACCCCAACACTGGTGTAGTTACAAAGGAGCCATACGGAATCGCGATATCAATTTATTGTAATATGAAATATTATTAAAAATAAATTAATCCAACCATAAGTATTGAGATTCAAACTGAATTCATCTGTCATTCAACTTATGTCTGATACAACGTGTAGGCTACGTCCAACCTTTTCTGGCAGCCTTCGAACAAATTGTTTGGCAAATTTATAAAATTTTATCATATGATTAAGACTGAAAATACGTGTAAGACACTCCTACACTAAGATAGAACCTTGGAAAGTTAATTCGTCCGTATTTTGCAATAATGAAATAAGGAACTTAGGATTTTTCATAATTATCATCAGGCTTACGGAAATTCACACCCTATATGAACTACTACGTACGAAAGGCTATCCATATGAATATAATTAATTAATTGCATAGGCCTAATTAACATAATAATAAAATGTTTATATTTTTATTTTCGCGAAACCCCTTTATCCCCTCTAGAGAGTTTAATGTGTCTCAGTCTTTATCTTTTATGCAATAATCTTTTATTGATCTTTATTTAATCGATCCTTAATAAATAAAGATCAATTTTAGTTGCAATCTTGAAATATAAACCTATTGTATGTAATATGTGCTCTTACCTATCTTAAGAAGCAAATTTAAAAAAATAAACCAGCTTCTTTAACAATTTTACACATGACTGAGGCGACTAGTAAAATAAACGAGTTAAATATTTTGTAGACATTTTACACTCTCGATACTTCTTAACCTCATTAGTTTTGAGTTAAAAAGAGAATAAATCAAGAGCCAGATTACTCATTTCTGTGTGAGTATACTTCAAGAAATGCCAACATATTTTATATACGTAGGATACATATATGGGTGTCCATGAACACGTTAACCCGAGCAATTGTGTTCTGATTTTGATTACATTTTGGTATAATATAAATGTGGATAAAATTAGAAAAATTGTACTTATTTTGTACATAATTATTTACATTAATAAATAAATCTGACATGTTTAAGGAATTATCTGAGAAAAAATCCCAACTGAGAAAATAACTTACATAGCCTGCAGGTTTGCTGCAACCAGGGTGTATTTTTTCTTGCAGATAAAATACCTTGGTTTCGGAGGTCAAGTTTTATCGACAACGCGTTCGTGTGACAGTAAGCTTCCCACAGCACTGTGGCCATTTGCAGCCCAATATATCATTGTTTGTCCCATTGTTCTGGCTCATCGCGAATTCACTCTTTTCAACAATAGCCTTTTGTTTGTGGCGCTCATGTATTTACCAGTTTATTCAAATGTCATTGTAAATATTCTAAACAATTAATTTTGTGTTAAAACATAAAATTACATTTTAATATTTTTTAAATTACAAATTAGTAAGGAGTTCAACATGTTTTCATTCTTCTATAGGTAGAAATGAAAAAAAGGTCAGAGCAGCGAAACTGTTTTATTAATCGCACAATATAAGACAAAAACATCAGGTGAAAGAAAGTAACTATAGAATTTTATTTTATATTAAATAACTAAAGAGGTTGAAGAACCAAGCCGCGAAATGATTTATTACGATTTTATAATATTTTATACTACTTAATGCATTATTATTGGACAAAACAGCAATTTAATTCAAAACAATGAATAGTCTGTAAATAGGTCTGTAACTAAACTGAATTGTGTTCACTTTATGTTATAATGAAATCAAGTGGAAAGTTTGATGAGAAAACCAACGGAACACAATACAATGAGTTTCGTAGATTAACAATGGAAATTACTTACCTTAACTGTTCTGCGTGTATTTTCTGTCGATTTTGGATGGTCCATGACTTAACTTAGAATCTCCTCAACAAACACTTTCCCAAACATTTAATCACTGTAAGTTTATCAGAAGATATCAATCAAGTGTTGCTCCAAGTTTGACCACCAGCTCGAGGCTACCAGTTCAATTAATCTTTGGGCAAGTTGTTCCTAACTTGAGTGTCAAATGGAGGAATATCTTAGTAAACAGATTATAACGGTTGGTTAAGTACCAATTCTTAAGTGCTATCAAATTCGGAGTCTTTACCTTCGTACCATCTAGTTAAATGTTAACTGGGTCAGGTTAGGTTAGATTGGAGGGTAATTAATGCAGTTAAAATAGAACAAGGAATATATTTCTCACCATCTCAGCACTCTCATGCATCGCCATTTACTAAAAACACCATGGGACCACAGTTGGTGTTATTTTATAGCAAACTGTTTGTTAAACAATTTCGAGTTAGTTACTTCACGTATGTGTTTGTGAATATGTGTATGACATCACTTAGCAAAGTAGGTGGTGAAGAGAATTTACAATAATTTTTAGATTCAAATTTAACTTAAATGCTTTGAAAATTAAATTTAACGAATCGTTTAACTTTAAAATTAATCTAGGCTCAAAACTAATGATAAGAAAACAGCAATTAAACAAAATCACATAGTAGTAAAAAAGTGTATTTTACCTTTTATTTGATAAACGTAATCCAGACGATGAAAATTGTTACATTCGTTTATGCTTATCGTGATAGAAGGAAGCATAGTGCGTTTAGCTATATATGAATATCTCAGTAGGCTTTGGTGCATATAATAGTCCAGTGATCTAGTGAATGTCTTTTTTTTACAAAAAATACCTTAATTGAATACATTTTATTTCACACATTTTACCAATGTGTTATATAAATAATGGAAAATTCTACGAGTTGTCACCTACTGGCATATAAGAGAGTTAAGGTATTTAGGCGAACGGTGTTTCTGGAGGTCCCAAAAGATAAATATCACACCGTGGTTCCGCACCTCATTCAAACTATGCTAAGGTTTTGTTTTGCTTTTGCATACGTCAAGTGACGAACATACCCAATCGAACAGGGTATTTACTCAGGGGAGGTATAGAAGAGGCTACGATTACAGCTGAGGGCTTCTTATTAGCTGAGGGAACGCCATTACCGTAACAAAACGTTCGTTAGCCATCGGCCTCGGTGGTCTTATGGTTAGCGTGCCGGGCTGATATACTGTAAGTCCCGGGTTCGAATCTCGCTGGTAGCAATAACTTTTTGCCCAAGATTTTTTTATTATCAGCAAGTTTGGTTGGTTTGGTTTGGTTATTACAGTTTAATTTTATTATTAAGTCATTATAAAATTTTAATTGAGCAATTTCTAGTTTTATTTAATAAACAGAATTATTTTTCCGATTACTAAACTGTTGTTACTGTATATTATTTCTTTATCAGCAAGTTTGGTTAGTTCGGTTAGGTTATGATAGTTTAATTTTATAATTAAAAAATAGTAAACTTGAATTTGAGGCATTTATAATTTTATTTTATGAACAGAACTATTTTTGAGATTAGTAAACCTTTATTGCCAAAGTGCTCTCTACTACAGTGCTGTTCACGGAGGAATTTTGAACTAAATTCCTCATATGTACCTCCCCTAAGTCAGACCCATCGAACAGAATGTTATAACCATTATTAATTCTTAAAATCAAGAGCTGAAAAGCTAGCTATTGTAAAACGAAAACAGGCACTCTGGCTTAAGATGACAACAGCTCTTGACACACAACAGAACACCATCTATAAGAAGAGTTTTAATAAAGACCAATGATTAACAATTTATCACACAGCTCGAAGCGACGTCCACCGACACAGTAACTGAGCACATTGTGGCGCTGCTTTGATTTATCCCACGGTTTATCCCATCATGGACACGAACAAAGAGCTAAATCTTTCATAACGTTCCCTTATTTTTCATAAGCCCTATTACTTCCTTCATAAAACATGCAATATGAGACGAGTTTATTACCATGCTGGTCGTAGCACTAGAACGTATCCTATCATAAAATGGATAAAGGAAAGAGCAGTGGTATACAAATAGGAGATCCTTGTATTTAAGTATTGGTTGTACACCTAGTACGAACCTACCACGAAAAATATTTCAACAAAACTACGCGGACCAATTCTTAACGTACATACTTAATGTGGGAGGTGGTAATTCCTCAAATATTACACAGACTCAGGAAGGTTTGCCTAAGTTTAGTTGTCGGTGGATATCAAACTTTTTGTCAAACCAATCCAAACAACAACTATACAAATTTACGATTGTATTAAAAACAAAATGTCAATACGAGACAAGTTTGACGACACTTTTGACTGCTCTATGGAGAATTTAGTTTCCGTTGGTAACATTTCGTACCTTTTTATAAATCTGTAACAATTTAATGCGCTCGTTTTGATCTTTGTAGTAAAATGATGTACAGAGTTTTTAAATTTTTGTACTGAACCGAGTTATGCGTACCATCAACGCATGATGGCGGACCACGGTCTCTCGCTCACTTTGAGCAAAACCGAGATTGTGATATTGACAAAAAAATGATTGACACCATTGTGCCGTTGAGGGTGGAGGCCATCGATGTCCATAACCCGTTTGTACTGCCAAGTACCTTGGGGCCAGACAGTAAACTCAGCTGGCTTGATCAGATCTTCCGTACGGCGGATAAGGCCGCTAGGGTGGTTTCCTTTTTTAGCCAGCTGATGGCCAATGTCGGAGGGCCTCGGTCCAGTAGTAGGAGGCTGTCATTGTCTTCAATCCAAACCGTACTCATGTACGGTGCGGGGGTGTGGGTAGACGTTCTCAATGAGGAGGTATATAGGATGTGGCTAGCCCGAGTGCTTGGTGGCCGAGGGGAAGACCAGTGCCGTGGGGAGGACAAGGCACGAACAGTGGGCCCCACCCGTGCCTACCAGCTTCGGCAGGAGACACGGGGACGCTGGACAAGGCGACTGATACGGCAAGTCCGACTTTGGGTTAACCCTCGGTACGGAGAGGTGAACTTCTACCTCACCCAATTTTTGACGGGTCACGGCCTTTTCCGGTCGTGCCTGTTCAGGATGGACAAGGCCGTGTCACCCGATTGCATATACTGACCATCGATGTATAATAGTATACATCGATGATACTGACCAGGCATTCCCGATGACGCGGAACATGATTTTTTCGCCGTCACCGTTGGAAAAAACCCATCTAGAGGCTCAACAGTTCGCAGGTTAAATATTGTTTTCGGTGGACATGGTCATACCGATGTTGAGGGAAGGTGAGGACAGTTGGACCTGTGTTTACGTCCATTACGTCCAGCGTATTCTCCGTGCCAAGAAACTCTACCTTGACCGGGATGTGGTTTAGGTCATAAAGAATGCCAGAAACTCTGCGAGCCGTGAGGGCTTAATCACATGTGGGCCTGACATGAAGTAATATGACAAAAAATTCCAGGTCTGCGTCCAACAGAGTAGAGGGGGTTTTTAGTGAGTAGCCTGATGAATGCAGGAGTCTCTCACTACAGGCTGGCTACCTGCGTACGTAAAAACAGATTTCCTCCTCTCCCTAAATTCTTTTTTATTTAAAATAATGTATACAGTAGTTTATTGTCATGGAAGCTACTATTCACTTCAAACTACATTGTCGGTCTTGATCTCATTTATATTTTTATAATCACAAAACCTTAAATTCAAATCTTTTGTTGCAGACTGAACTTCAAGGATTATTAAAGACTGATTAGGTAAGTCGAGTTATGGCATACCCCTAGTAACTAAGTTATAGTACGAGTTATATACGGTTATAGTAACTAAGTATTCGTAGTTATTTTAGGTTCGATAATAAGTTTTATTTAACGTGTATTCATTTTGTCGCAGGTTTTAACGTTTTACTGATAAAATACATTCTACTGAAATAGACTATCTATATAAATAAAATTAGAGTTTTTTCTGTACATTGCTCAGAATCATACATTTTTAGGTTATTTTAACGTTTTATACATTAAAGAAGCCGAAACAAGTCTCATCTAAATTTCTGTCTGTCTTTCTGTCTGTCTGTCTGTCTGACACACTCAAGATGGCATTTTACGCAATCTTCTCCAGGAAAACGAGAGTACCTATCAAGACCCAAGTCATTTTAATGTATTCACTGGATTGGCGAGAGTGTCTTTAGCCATTAAAATATGGTCTCACTACTTTGTAATTAAAATTACGGCCGTTCAAAAATGCAGTTTTGTGCGATTTTTGTCAAGTTTTCTTCCAATTTGTATCACATAATCATCTATGAAACAACAAACAGCTGTTCGGATCAAGATTATTTTTTCTAGCTGTCACTGAAATGTTTACAAATGTTGTTTACAAACACCACAACCATTTCCGATCACGTTTTGAAGGCAAATCCCATCCAAGTGAGATTAAAAACGTTTTTATTACATAAAGGATTTAATTAATCGCAAGTGGAATAATATAGTGTAACCGTAAATTAAATAACTAGGCATCATCCAGGTCAGGAACCAGAAATATGTGTATAAAATTGTTTTGGAGTTTTGATAACCAGAAAGAAGACATTGAATCAAGATTGAATCAGTGTTGTATACGGCTGGAAAACTTAAATTTACTAATGACCGTCGCCAATAGCTTAGAAACAATGTTCCACTCATTGACGGCTCTTCAATGGCGGTTGTGTAAATTGTAAAGCAAAAAATTACAACTGCAGTGGGTGATTGTAACAGAGGTTTACGGATGATGCTGAACTCGATTTTCCAATGTGTCACTTTCTGTTCCTACCATTGACTATATAAAGCCAATAGTTCCTACTCACCGTGTGATGCAATCGCTGGACCATACAGCCAATAGGCCCATAGCCCTTCTCTTGGGTACGTGTGGTACGTATGCTTACCCAATTATTTATAACAACCCTTTCGACAACGTTCCTTGATACCGGTACTTTTCCATAGAATACACGGCCTACCTAGGTACTTAAGAAATAAAATTATAAACGTCCAAAAACCCAACGTTGTGTGATTTTTGTCACATTTCCTTATAATGTTAATATACATACCAGCAACCATTGTTTAGAGAATACGTAATCTATTAAATAACAGAAAGTAATGTTGTATAAGTTTTTTTTTTTCAAACTGACACCGATAAGTTTACATTAAGAGTTGTGTACAAATAAAGCAATTAATGGGAAATAACTTTGATTGCCGATAACTTTTTACGAGAAAATCCAAAACCAAGAGATCAATAACCTTGATTAACGCATATAATTGGTCGGCTGTACTACAGTTCTTAACTGTAAACGTTGGTTTTTGGTACGGTACTGGTTCTTTTCCTTTTAACCTTTAGTAGCAGCAAGAATCATTTTTACGTACCAACACATCACAGTAATTTACAAATTAGTTATTGTTGGTGTTGCACCTTATTTATTACAGGCGTAGGCCTCTTCAATTTAATTGATGTCTTAACTGTATAATTTTTGCTTTTTCTGTCTGGATTCCAAAATGTTATGCTAAGAAAACTATAACGCATTTTAGTAAAACATTTATTCAGCAAACCATCATGAATTGTTCAAACACTTTGAACGTTGTTTATGTATCAATAGTTCGTGGCCTATTTTGGTATTTTTTATTACAAATTACCAATCTAAATCGTCTATAGTAGGCCTACTGTACTTCATTTCATATAGCAAACCGATTCAGATAGCATTTCAACAGAATTTCGAGTCATCTCCGGTCCAAGCAAATATAAATTGTTATGATCAAATTTTATGGCATTAACAAAGATTTCAAGTACTAATTTTATATGTACCTTTTTATGCTTAAAGCGTAGCAGATTCCCTAATTAAGTTCGGTATTTTTGTGTGTATGTATGATGGTAACGCATTTATGTCCTTGTTTCTCAATGTTTCACGGAAAGGACAAGAGCGCCTTGATAATGAAAATGTCAACCCGAATAAAGTGTTAAATTAAGAGGTTGAGGTAGTACCTTAAATACTTTTAACCATTATGTTATAGTCCTTTAAATTCTGAACAAAATTATACAAATCCCATTTCCGTATATTTACTCTCACCGCTTACACATGATAAAGGTTGTTGACAAACTTATGGGAGAAAGTATGTGTCAGAATGCTGATACCGTTTATTTAGTCATTGGATATAACATATGGACCAACAAGATCCGGGTGACATTTAATTGCGAAGCATTAGTTTTGGCTTGAAACTGTCAGATACTGTATTTGCGAAGGAATAGTTTTGTCAGCATATCTGAAAGTATGCAAACCAACTGCTGTGCTTTATATAAGAAGGTTTTAACTGACTATGATAAGATCCCCGTGCGTAGAACGGGCACACAGCTAGTAAATTACTAATTAAGAAAACATATCAATTTTTCATCCTATGTACCTACTATTTGAATAGGATATATAAAATTAGTTTTGATTATTTTAACTATACAAAACGAATATTCTGGGATTCTGTCAACTTTTAATTGCCAAGCAAATGAAAATCAATTCCTCTCAACATGTTTACTTCATAAATTACTTTAAAGCTTACGATCAATAATAATTAATCTTCGGAAGCCTACTCACTTCCGATCAATCTAAACTTGTCTATAACTTTGACTGTCTGGTAGAACACAACTTGGGCTGCACTTGGACTGTTTTAATGAAACTCCTAGTTGAATATTAGCAACTTTAAAGTTTACGAAATGAAATGAAATGAAATGATGTTTATTTCCCAACTAAAAAGTACAATTCATGGTATTTTACAAAATAAATTACTTAATCCTTGTCTTAAAAATAACTTACAAAATAATATTATAACTAAATGGCACAAAGAGATAAAAAAAAATACCTAATCAACTTATTTGGAAATGTGTCTATTTAGGCATGGCCTGTGCGTAGACATGAGTTGCGGGTAATTTGTTTAGTGAATGGGAATTTTTTTTTTGAAGTGATTGTTATCACGTCTGAAAATAAATGTTGTCTTGCTTGGAACTGGACAACGATATTTCTCTGAAACTAAATAGAATCTAAAGTGCTTCTCAAAAATCAAGTGATAGTTCCAATTAAACGAGCCCAATTAAATAGGAATAACAATATATTTTTTACATCATATAAATTATACCATCTAAATTAGTACTGCAATTTAGGTAGTTTTTAAGTTATAGCAATGCAAAATAAAAATTTTCTCAATTGGATTTCGTCTAATTATGATACCAGTAGAGGGAAGGACGGTTATTATCACATGACGTCATAATTAATGTAATTAGGTAAGAATATAGTGATAGGGAGTATCGTAGTCAGGGCTGGGCATGTACTCTGGTGATGTGTGTGATCACAGATGTTGTAGACGGTATTGTTATTAGGTCAAGGTCGTTTGAATCTGTTTTTAAAAAATATTCTGCACTAATGGATAAATAGTGCAGAATATTTTTTATTTTTTCATTTATTTTTATTACAATCATAAATAGTATTAATAATGTACAGTAGTTATATCTAAGTTAAATCTAAGAAGTGTTGGAATCGTTCTTCGTCGTAGAGCTGCTGCTTCCGTATAATATGTTGAATGCTGATGAATGGTCGGTATCAAATTTTCTTCGATTGGGGCATGGTGGTTTGTAAGCTCCGTAGTCTGGAAGCAGAGTGCTGTTAGCTGTTGTTGTTATTGTAATTGCATACCCACTTGCAATTAGAACTCTCAACTCTTCAGCAAAAACCTCAATGTCATGGTAGGTTGAAAGGTAAACATCGTCGTACTGGACAAACTTAACTTTGAGAGACATGATTGTTGTGTTGAGCTGAAGTTGCCTCTAGCAAGTCCTCAGAACGATTGAAAGCATGTAACTACCTTCATGTATTTATAGGTAAACTCACTCCCCCCCCCTAGCTACCCCCCACCACTAATCTTTTCGAAGGGGGCCTCGTATTACACCATAAATATTTTCATCACAGAAATAATAGGGGTTCTGCAATAAACACAATCGTCAACACTTAGAGCGCACATAATGCAGCTGCAAAAATGCTTGCAAGGTAAAAACACAATTTCCCTTTCTGCTGACAAACATACTATGCACTCCGAGCCTTGTTTTTGCACCGGTTCGTTTGTTCCCAAGCCTTTGGTTGAGCATCTCTTTTTAACTATCGCATTTTTATATATTTGCTTGGAATGTTTGTCCACAAAGTCTTGTCCCTTGTTAACAATCACAAAGGGACATCTTGGAAACCATCGCGCATGTTCTTGCCATGGATCATCTTCTTCTTGCCAATCCTTTAATCCTCCTCCACAGTAGTAACATATAGTTTCATCATTTTTCCCCGTGTAAAAAAATCCAGCTTCGGATAATTCCCATTTGGAATTGTTTACGACAGAGTTAAGTAGACTTTTTTCAAAAGAATTCAACCTAGTTTGAAAGTGGGTATAGTTTGGAAAGGCAATCTTAATCTTCAAAATGGTTGCAGACATGTTAAGGTACTAGATGGCTTGCTAGGATCCAAATGATAAAAGCCCAACTGTTAGCAACGTTTTATACGCAAATAAAAAGAGGGGTGGGGGTTAGCTCGTATGTAATCGTTTGTATAATTTTGTTTCTGATTTAGGCCAAGGTCATCCATATTAGTTTTTAAAAAATATCATGTTAGTATTTTAAACAAAATACTAACATCATACTTTATAACTTTTTATTTATATACAATCATATGTACAATATTCTAACAACAGTGCAGAGACAGTTCTGTAGAGTTGTT